TTTTAGTCCTTTAATTCCTTTAATTTCAGTCTTAATCCATGAAATATTACCATAGAAGTGTGTTTTTGGTCCAAGAATCCTTACCTTAACGAAGTCTCTTGATTTCTCTCTTCAAAATCGCCCAAAAAGCTCCAAGGTCGAAGGCAACAATGGTGAAATAACCCAAAATCGCGAAATGAAATAACATATATGTTCTGCCCAGGCCTTTTCGCATCTGCGGCACAATACCTGCTTCTGCGGTACCGCATCTGCGGTCTTTCCTCCGCATCTGCGGAAATCACTTAACGGACCAATTACCGCATCTACGGTCCACTCGCCGCATCGACGGCTCTGCAGGTGCGGTCCTTCTACCGCATCTGCGGTTTCTGATTGCTCCCTTCAAATCTGCATATGCGGCCAACCCCTCGCATATTCGACGCCGCACATGCGGTCCCCAAACTGCAGGTGCGAAAATATCAGAAGCAGCAACTTCAGCAGCTGCAACACAATCCAACTTTCTCCGTTAACCACCCGAAATCACCCCGAGGCCCCCGGGACCTCAACCAAAAGCACAAACATATCCCAATACCTTATCCAAACTTGTTCAAATCATCAAAACACTTCAAACAACACTAAATCAACCAAAACACCTCGGATTCAAGCCTAAGTTTCTAAAAATCTTCCAAATTCCGCTTTTGATCAAAAACCCAACCAAACCACGTCCGAATGACTTGAAATTTTGCACATACATCCCAAATCACATAACGAAGCTATTGCGACTCTCGGAATTCCATTCCGACCCCTATATCAAAATCTCGCCTACCAACCGGAAATCGCCAAAATATCAACTTCGCCAATTCAAGCCTAAAAATACTCCGGACCTCCAAAACCTATTTCGATCACACTCCTAAGTCATAAATCACCTCCCGAAGCTAACCGAACCACCGAAACTCACATCCGAGCCCTCTAACACATAAGTCAACATCCGGTTGACTTTTCCAACTTAAGCCTTCTTAAAAGAGACTAAGTATCTCAAACTTCACCAAAACCAATCCGGATTCAATCCAACCAACCCGATACCTCAAAACACAGATGAACAAAGCAATAAGAAGCAGAAATGGGGGAAACAGAGCGGTAACTCATGAGACGACCGACCGGGTCGTCACATCCTCCCCAACTTAAATAAATGTTCGTCTCGAACGAGTCAAGAAACATACCTGAAGCCTCAAACAGGTGAGGATATCTGCTCCGCATCTCCCGCTCGGTCTCTCAGGTAGCCTCCTCCACGGGCCGACCTCTTCACTGCACCTTCACCGAAGCTATATCTTTTGATCTCAACTTCCGAACCTGACGCTCCAGAATAGCTGCTGGCTCCACATCATAAGTCAAATTATCCTCCAACTAAACCGTGCTGAAATCCAGAACATGGGACGGGTCTCCAATATACTTCCGGAGCATAGAAACATGGAACACTAGGTGCACCCTCGACAAGCTGGGTGGCAAAGCAAGCTCATAAGCCACCTCTCCAATCCTCCAAAGTACCTCAAAAGGCCCAATGAACCGCGAACTCAACTTCCCCTTCTTTCCAAATCTCATTACACCTTTTGTGGGCGAGACCTTCAACAGAACCTTCTCACCGACCATGAAGGATACATCTCTAACCTTCCTGTAAGCATAACTCTTTTGCCTCAACTGCGTTGTACGAAGTCTCTCCTGAATTACCTTCACTTTATCTAAGGCATCCTGAACCAAATCTGTCCCCAATAGCCTAGCCTCACCGGGCTCAAACCAACCAACTGGAGATCTACACCGCCTCCCGTACAAAGCCTCATATGGAGCCATTTGGATACTCGACTGGTAGCTATTGTTATAAGCAAACTCTACAAGCGGTAGAAACTGATCCCATGACCCTCCGGAATCAATAACACAAGCGCGTAGCATATCCTCCAATATCTGAATAGTGTGCTCGGACTGCCCGTCCGTATGAGGGTGAAAAGCTGTGCTCAACTGTACCTGAGTACCCAACTCTCGCTGAACCGACTTCCAGGACCGGGAAGTAAACTGAGTGCCCCGATCTAAAATGATAGAAACTGGGACACCATGCAACCGAACAATCTCCCGGATATATATCTCTGCTAACCGCTCGGAAGAATAAGTAGTACAGATAGGAATGAAGTGCGCGGACTTGGTCAACCTATCCACAATTACCCAAATAGCATCGAACTTCTTCAAAGTCCGAAGGAGTCCAACTATAAAGTCCATAGTGATCCTCTCCCACTTCCACTCTGGAATATCCATCCTCTGAAGCAAGCCACCCGGTCACTGATGCTCATATTTCACATGCTGATAATTGAGACACCGAGCTACAAATCCCACAATATCTTTCTTCATTCTCCTCCACCAGTAATGTTGTCTCAAGTCCTGATACATCTTCGCGGCTCCTGGATGAATAGAATACCGCGAACCGTGGGGACGTACCTGCACCATGCAGTGGATTTCCTGATTTGTGACAACGATTTCAGTAACGTGAATGATGGCATCATTCCATAATACCCCAATCCCACCCGACTGCCCTTTAGCGGGTGCTTGTGATAGATGAGAGAAATCGAAATCTGCCTTAATATTATGATGATCTGCTATGTGTGTTTCTAGAAGTACTACTAGTGGAGGTTGATAGTAATTTAGCAATGAACAAAAATTTCTACGAAAATCAGGTGATTGTGCACCCCTACAATTCCATATACAATGAAATACATGAGTGCTCATCAAATTGATACCATTGTGGAACGACGAACTGCTACAGAGCCTATTATACATTCCTATGAGATAAAAAATGGAAAAGAAAAATTAGAAGTTGTTGGATTTGAAACAAGCTAATCTGAATATGATTCTTTGTGGTGCATTACTAATTGAAGCAATTAATTTATGTATTCAGATGTATTATATAATTTCTCTGAAGATTGCTATGTTTTTGGGGTATTTTTTGGTTGAGAATCTTTTTTATAACTGAAAATATAAAATTTGTGTGTTATAATTGAGTTTGTTGAGTTATATTAGGAGTCTATTATGTTAATTGATTCACTTTTCATTTAAAAACAGTGTAATCCCCTCCCGAAGCCCATCTACATTGGGCACACAAATCCGGCCCTGCATCCTCAATACTCCATCATCTCCAATAGACACATCCCTGGCATCATCATGCTGAACTCTGTCCCTAAGGACGAGCAAATGTGGATCATCATACTGGCGCTCTCTGATGCGCTCATATAGGGAAGACCAAGAAACCACACAAGCCAATATCCGACTGGGCTCCGAAATATCCAACCTCACAAACTGATTGGCCAAAGCCTGAACATCAACCGCAAGAGGTCTCTCCCCAACTGGAAGGTATGCTAAACTCCCCATACTCACTGCCTTTCGGCTCAAAGCATCGGCCACCACATTGGCCTTTCCCGGATGGTACAATATAGTGATGTCATAATCCTTAAGTAACTCCAACCATCTCCGCTGCCTCAAATTAAGATCCCTTTGCTTGAACAAATGCTGAAGACTGCGATGATCAGTGAATACCTCACAAGATACGCCATACAAGTAATGCCTCTAAATCTTCAACGCGTGCACTATGGCAGCCAACTCCAAATCATGAACGGGGTAGTTCTTCTCATGGGGCTTCAACTGACGAGAAGCATAAGCAATAACTCTACCCTCCTGCATCAACACACAACCAATCCCTACTCTCGAAGCATCACAATACACGATATATCAACCTGAAGTTGATGGCAAAACCAACACTGGAGCTGTGGTCAAAGCTGTCTTGAGCTTCTGAAAGCTCTCCTCACACTCGTCCGACCATACAAATGAAACACCCTTCTGAGTCAACTTGGTCAAGGGCGATGCGATAGATGAGAATCCCTGAAATAGAAATGGGCTGAGTGCCCGACACCAGGTCAATACCAAAATCAATATCCTTATCCGGTGGCATGCCCGACAGGTCTTCAGGAAATACATCAGTGAAATCCCTCACAACTGGGACAGAATCAATACTGGGAGTCTCAGCTCCAACATCTCTCACAAAGGCAAGATACGAAAGACAACCCTTCCCAACCATACGCTGGGCTTTCAAGAAAGAAATCACTCTGCTAGGAACACAATCAGTCACACCTCGCCACTCAATCCGTGGCACACACGGGATAGCCAACATGACTGTCTTGGCATGACAATCTAGAATAGCGCGACACGGAGATAGCCAATCCATGCCCAGAATGAAATCGAAATCCACCATACTCAATAATAAAAGATCAAATCGGGTCTCCAGACCCCCAATAGTCACCACACATGACCGGTACACACGGTCTACAACAACAGTCTCGCCCATCGGGGTAGATACATGAACAGGTAAAGCAAGAAACTCACGAGGAGTACCCAAATAGTGAGCAAAGTATGATGACACATAAGAATAGGTGGAACCAAGATCAAATAATATAGAGGCATCTCTGTGGCAGACTGAAATAATACCTGTAATGACAGCATAAGAAGCAATGGCATCGGGTCTGCCTAGAAGAGCATAGAAACGGGCCTGACCGCCCCCTGATCGACCTCCCCCTCTGGGGCGACCCTTGGCTGACTGATCCCCACCCTAGCTGGCTGGGCGGGTGGTGGTGGAGCAACTATCGAATACAACAACTGATTAGCTGGACTTCCCTGATTCACGCCTATTTTTGCTACTGTATTCATGAATACAGTAGCTTAAATACATCTAATACATCTTATAACAATAGAAAACGTATCTACAATCCGTAATATAGCAAATGATATCTATAGATAGCTAATTACCACAAAAAGATAGTGCTTTATGAAAATTTTTCTTATTTTAAAAGCGGCTACTGTAGATAAATTGAGCCGAAAACGAGAAAAGGAGACATCTTGGGCTTGTATAAAGGCCCAAACTTTGATGTACACTAATAAGAACCGACCCGGCTTCAAGTTATCCATAGTTTCTCTTTTTCTTTTCTTCTTTTCCCCCGAAGTTATAACGAATTCGAGCTCTCCTATATATATATTTTCCAAAATGCGATATTTTGGAATTCTCTTTTTCACCAATCCCAATCGCCCATCGGTTTAAAGCACGTTCCGGCGAACAAGCACAAAAGGGAAACTACCGATCAATCAATTAAACCGGCGATGGAGATGAAGGAAGGGTCTGTAATTCATCAAGTCCTTGTTAAATTTCTCGATGGGAAGCACAAAACCCTAAATTTCAGTACCCCATCCATCTCGACCCTAACCCTAAAGCAGAAAATCCAAGCCCTAACTTCAATCCCTTGTGACCTTCAGCTCCTAGTCCTTTCCAATTCATTCTACACCCTACATGACGACCTCCTAACCCTAAATCTCTCAAACGGGTCTAATTTTCCGGTGGTGGTGAATTTGTTGGTGCGCCTGAGGGGAGGTAAAGGAGGATTCGGGTCATTGCTGAGAGGAGCAGCGACGAAGGCAGGGCAGAAGAAGACGAATAATTTCGACGCGTGCAGGGACATGAGTGGACGAAGGCTAAGGCATGTGAATGCGGAGAAGAAGCTGGAAGAGTGGAGGGCTGAAGCGGAGGAGAGGAAGTTGGAGAAGATGGCGGAGGAGTTCCTTAAGAAAAATGCCAAGGAAACAGCGAAAAAGGCTAATAAGAGTGGAGATAGTAACACGGATAAGTATGTGCAGAAGTATAGGGAGGATTCTGCTAAGTGTATGGAGGAAGTAGAGAGGTCTGTTAGGGAATCGCTTAAGGGGGTTGTGTCATCTAAAAGGAAAGGTGCTGCTGAGTTCAATGAATCTGATCCCAAGAAGCTCAAGATATGGTAAGGCCTGTCACTTTTCACTTGTCGCATTCCATTTTGCTCCATTTTGTTCAAAAACAACTATTTTGCTTGAAAGACTAAATATTTAGTATTGGAATGAAACCAGAGTGGATATTGAGGATTAGTAGCTGATACCAACTACTTTGGGATATTTTAGGCTTAGCTTTAGTGTTGTGTTGTGTTGAGTTGCTATTTGGAAATCCATTATCTTGGGTTGAACAGCTGAATATCATCTATATTTTTTCAGTGGCTGAAATGTATTTCAGTTTAATTTGAATGTGAGCACATGAACGCATGCTTTGAGTTTTTTAAAATGAAGTAGTTTTAAAAGGTAATACTCTTATGTTTAGCATGTTTTTGACTGGTTTTGTATAGTTGTCCCCTTTTTATAGAGTTGTATTGCCTCAAGGACACCTTCAACAACCACTGAAACTTGGTCAACAAGTGGTAGACATTAGCTGTTGGGCAATCAGGGACAAGGAGCCTAAGGGATCTATCCTCATCCAGAGCTTTCCAGAGCTCGGCTCCATGACAGAGCACCTTAAACCTAAGCCTATCAAAAGCCTGCAAAAGAAAACTCGATAAGGAAGGGAAGACGCGGAATTCGGAAGGCCTATGTCGAAACTCACCGCAAAATGCAACCGGCGGGCTTCCTCGAAGGCCGAGCACACATCTGTTGATGTAGTCTCCTCAGCCCTGGAAGAATCGCCCCCGTTCGAAGCACGATCGCTCGAAGAGGCCATCTTTCCAAAAACTAGAAAATTCGGGCGCGGCAGGCTCAGACGATGTTTCATCTAGAAGACGCGACTCCATATTGCCTTGCTCTGAGCGCCATCGCCCTGCGAAAGGGCAGTTGTCCCACTTATTGTTATCATCCTTTATCCCGGGAACTGGCAACCCCTCCCCCTTTCCGGAGGAGAACGACCTCGCCTCTAAAGGCTCTCCGACACCTACGGCAGTAAGATTAATACGNCTTCACGTGCAACCCACATGCTCGAATCTGCCCATTTTTGTGTACCTGAGGGATGGACCTGGTTCATCCTGAGTTCCTTTGTCAGTCTTCAAAACTAACCTTTACTTGGGCCAACAAATTCCCCCTTTTTGATGATGACAAACTCTGTGCTTTTCATAAGCTCAGGCCCTGTTTCAACTCAGCTCAACATCAACATAATGTTAGAAACATTTTTCCTTTTTATCACTTATCATCAAGGACCAGGTACATTAGGTTATAAACATCACTGTTCAAAGTGTAAAGCACAACCTTTTTCCCCCTTTTGGCATCATCGAAAAGCTGCATAAAATGTGAGATAACCAGATTTTAAAACTTACTCATGGCCACTGGGGCTACTTCAAATGCAATCATGAATTAATCATCATAGATCAAGCTAAGAATTTAAACCATCAAAGAAATATAAACAAACAGTTAGAGCAAAAATAGTGAATTTCATTGATGATTGATAAGATTCTATCACAAAGCATAAGAAGAAATAAAAATACAGAAAACATGAGCAAAAAAACAAAAAGCCTCGAATTGAGTCACTGGTTGATCTACACTAGGCTGGGATTTAAGGTTTGGAAGAGGTAGGGGCTGGGTTATTTGCTTGGAGAAGTTTCAGCATGTCTTGAAGAATTCCATCATTCTTCTACTTTTCCCTTGCAAGTTCAGTTTTGAGAACATCTCTCTCAAATTCTACCTCAACCAATCGTGTCTTCAGCCTTGCTATCTCAGTATCCTTTGCCTCACTCTCCTGTACCAAGACTTTGACTTTGCTATTGATAGGTGTCTTTTTAGATGAACCAGGTTCATTAAGAATGACATTGACTTCATAATCGCAAGCAAGCAGAGTATTAACCCCAACATGATCCTTTCTTGTACTAACCTCCCACTTCTTCATAGGTACCTTGAAATGTACAAGCACAGTTGTGAGAATGAAACCATAGGGAATGGCATGAGTTTTGGGGCTATTGATAACTCTATTAGTAGGTCCGCGAGGGTTTCCTGATCACATGGAATAGGTTCATCTATATTTTTTTCAAGTTGAACCAACCCATCAGCAGCTTCACCAGACCCACTTCCCCCTGTTTTGCTCACACTCTCTTCTATTTCAGTAAATTCCTCTCCCCAAACAACCATTGCACCAGTTTCTTTTATTATAACAACAGGAGCGGGTGAAGAATCAGCCACTCTTGTCCCCTTTCCCCTCATAGTACTCCTATCGCCCTTGCTCTCCCTTTTTTTTCATTTTTACCACCAACTTCTCCAGATTATGTAGTCTCAACACCTGCTATACATCCTACAAATCTATTCTCCAAATTTGCAGCAACTTTAGAAATTGTCTCAGGAGAAACTTTAGAATCAGAAGATACCTGTTCAGTTTCGGAAGACCTACTTTCTTCCCCCTTAGTAGCAGACTTAAATTAATCTTCAGATTTCTAGGATTCTTCTTCCCTACATGCTTTCAATTGCTTGTTTATTTTTTTGATCTCCTCTCCTTCAGCGAAAATCTTACGAGCCATCATCTTTACTCTACCTTTCTTAGAGATTGGTGTGGTTGAAGCAGTGGTAGAAGGTGTGGAAATGGTTTTCTGTGGTGGTGATGAAGGATTTTCAGAGGTGTTTGACATATGGAAAAGAAGAGAATTAGATTGTGTTTGGAAGATGAAAGAAGAATGAGAGTTTTTGACGGCTTGAGAGAGATGAAGTAAGGAATACACTAATGCTGATCAATATACAGAGGAATAATTGATGGGGTAACTACAGCTTTTCAGACTCTTCGAAGTTTAATTAAACTGAAATTCAGTTTTGAAGAGACGTTGGAGTGTATCCCTAGAATCTAGATACTTCCATTCGGTTGGGACTCTTTTGAATGAGACTGGTTCACTTGTAACAGATAAGTCCAAAAGGAGTTTGTTATTTGGTAGGACTCTGCTCATGATCCAAATATAGTTATTTCAAATTATGCAGAGTGTAGAAAACGTACCGTGTTATCTTGATGAACCAGGTTCTTCACTGATAATTCTCTTGTGTGAGTCTAAATTTGCCAAAATAGAGAAAATATCATTAGTGATTAATGAGTCATTTTTATACATGGCACACAAGTATACTATGGAAAGTATGAGACTGAGCAAAATTTAATCTAATTATACAGTTTACTGACTTTCTAACCAAAATTTGTTTTTCAATTTTTTTTTTCATTTTTTTTTTGTTTAACCTTGAACTGGTCCTTTTAGGTGATCTTAATCATCCCTAATTCCAACCTGTTCCTCTCAAAGTAATCTCTACTTAAGGCATTAGTGAAGATGTCAGCAATTTGCTTGTCAGTAGCACAAAATTCCACAGTGGCCAAGCCTTTCTCATAGTTGTTCCTCAAAAAATGGTGCCTAACATCTATGTGCTTAGTTCTTTTATGATGGACCGGTTTCTTTGTCATACAAATAACACTAGAGTTATCACAAAAAATAGGGATGCAACCACATCAATTCCAAAGTTCAATAATTGTTGTTTGATCCACAGCAATTGAGCACAACATGAAGCATCAACAACATACTCCGCTTCAGCCGTAGATAAGGCCACTGAATTTTGCTTTTTGGTAGCCCATGTCACAAGACATGAACCAAGAAAGTGTGCCATACCTGAGGTGCTCTTCCTATCCACAAGGAAACCTGCATAATCAGCGTTAACATATCCCACTAGGTTAAAAATACTACCTTTTGGATACCAATGGCAAAGGTCAGTGGTGCCTTTCAAGTATCTCAATATTCTCTTGACAACAGTCAAGTGGGACTTCTTTGGATTTGCCTGAAATCGAGCACAAAGACCTAGACTGAAAACAATGTTAGGTCTGCTAGCAGTAAGATACAAAAGAGAACCAATCATTCCCCTATACAACTTCTGATCAACAGATGAACCAGGTTCATCTATATCCAATTTCGTGGATGTTGCAATAGGAGTGTCAATTTCATTAGATGTTTCTTCCTGGTTTTGTTACTAAGGAATAGGTTCATGGACAGGTTCTCTCGAGGTTTGAGGATCAATTCCTCTCTAGTCAGTTCCCCCTGTCATGTTGCCCTGGGTGGAATGACCTGTTCCATCACATGTTCCTTGCTGTGATGCTTCTTCAGGCTGCACTGTGCTTTCACCATTTGAATTTCTTATCAGCCTATTCTCTTCATTATCTTGTTCCTGCTTTTCAGAAAGAATGTTAGTTTTAAATAACATATACATTTTTTCTACACACATAGTTCTTTTACTGTATATCTTATAAACTTTACTATGTGAAGAATATCCCAAGAATACTCCCTCATCACTTCTGGGATCATACTTACCTAGGGAGTCTTTGCCATTATTGTGCACAAAGCACTTGCATATAAATGCCCTAAGATGGGATATATTTAGCTTTCTCTCTTTAAGTAACTCATAGGGAATCTTCTTAACAAGAGGTCTAGTCATGCAACTATTTATGATGTAGCATGCAGAAATTCAGCAAACTTAGCATTTTCAAATTTAGTTCCATGATCAGACCTAATTGATGCAAGTTGATTACCTAGTTGTTTTTGAGTTTTTCTAACAAAAGAAGTAAACATGTGAAATGCTTCATCTTTAGATGTTAAAAACAATGTCCAAGTAAACCTAGAGTAATCATCAACGAGCACAATCACATGTCTTTTACCACCTCTGCTTAATATTCTCCTTGGACCACAGAGATCCATATGGACCAGTTCCATCGTTCTGGTGGTGCTTACCACTTTCTTGCATTTAAAGGAGGATCTTACCTGCTTCACCCTTGCACAAGCCTCACAAACTTTGTCTTTCTTGAACTTGATGTTAGGCAGCCCTATCACCAGATCCTTGGAGACTAATTTGTTGAGTTGACTCAGACTTGCATGTCTAAGTCTCTTGTGCCAAAGGAGGGGATCATTGTCCAACACACTTAAGCAAGTGAGTTCATTTTCTGAAAGTGTGGACAAATCTACAATGTAATGTATTGTTTACTATTTTTCCCTACAAAACAATCTTGTCAGTG